TTATTATTATCAAATCTGATATTGTTTACTTGTTTATATTGAAATTAGATATATTTAAGAAACTAGTATACAACTATTATTATCTGAAAGTATCCAAGAATTTGTATTTCACAGTATTTAAAACAATGTAATAACTAATATTAATGTAGTTAATAATAAGCTAGATTAGTTGCAAGTATTATATTAGTAATTAAAGAACTTAATATAATAATATATAAAGATTAAAAATTTTAGTTACTTTATAACATAAGTTGATGATAATAACAAAAGTTTTTTGTTTACCTTTTTAACAATATAAATTAATTATACAAAATTAAATAACAATATTTATATTCTTTATAACAAATTACTACTCTTTATTTAAACTTTCTTTCTATTTTTTTTCAAATTTATATTTGAGTTATATTATATTCAAATAATTAAATATAGGATTTTATATACAAAGCTTTTTGTAAATAGCTGTCTATTATTATCATTATTATCATTATTATTATTATATTTTATTTTATTAGTCCGGAACAAAATATAAGACTATATATGTTTATGCAAGGTGACACAAAGATTGTCACATGCTGTCCGGATGTCTGTCCGGCTAAATATGATTGGTTCCCTGTTACTAGTTACGTGAGTCAATATAGTTAAGTCTGGAGATCAACAAACTTATATAACAAACTTATACAACAAATGACAAACTTAACATAAATGTGAACGGCATAATATTTTGTATAATATAGTCTTTATTTCAAATATGAAAATTCACCTACTCATCTTATATCAAAAGAATTTAAGTGTTTCTTGATAATTTTATGTTATGGTAAAATCAATGCATACAATCTTTCTTCTTCAACTTTTCATTCTTGAAGTCTTTTGCATTGCTTTATGCATTGGAGCCTGTCGAAGGTAAACTGTTTAAGACAAATATTGTTGAGCGAATGAACTCGTGATAATACAACAAAGGTTAGACCAGCTGCAAACTCCTTGTTTTCAATATTGATTTTTGCTTTTTCTAAGGTTAAACCCTGGCTTTTATGAATTGTAATGGCCCATGCAAGATATATAGGTAATTGAAGATGAGAACATGTTCCATTTTTATCCTTCCATGTTCGTTTAATAGGTGGTATTGGAACAACCTTGTCACCTTTTGCACTTGTAATGGTAGGTCTATAATATTTATCAAATTTTATAAATACTACCAAGGGAAGTGCCAGAGATTCCTGTTTCTTAAATATGATGTCTTTGACAATTTTCATTGACCCATTAACAAGTCCTGCTTTGGTCTATAGGTTTGTTGTTAGCATGATTCAACAAGATTTTACCAGTAGTAATTAAGCTTCGAGTCCTTTTACAGTGTCAGAATTGGCATGTTTGGCCTCTTTTCCTCTGGTATGTACAGTACATATTTTAGCTACTGGACTATTTAATTTCCTAAGAATTTCTATATTGTACCTGTCTACATCTGTCCATTTTGATAATATGAAAATAGCATCAAGAAATCGATCACGTTCTATTTGATTTATATTTGTTTCGAATCATTTTGTAAGGGCTTTTCAATTATCTAAACTGCTGTTACCATCTTATAGTCTTAAGAGTATATCTCAAAAATTTTGTTGTTCTTTGGATTCATCGGATTGACGTTGGACAATGTCAAGTTTATAGATTTAGCTAAATTCTTTGTATACTGCCAAGCCATTATTAGATAATATATTGCTTGATACTTTATTTGTGTATATAAAAAGGTCAATAATGTGTGGAAGCTGTCCAAAGTCTCCTAATAGGATAATAGATCGATTTTCGAAAGGTTCATTTTTTTTTGGAGGGAATGCTTGTCTTAATCTCATATCAATTAAGCCTAGCATTCGTCTTCCCACTATGCTTTTCTCATCAATTATGATGTACCTCACGTCTTGTAATCTTTCTTGAAGTTGCTTTAGACGAATATTGTTAAATTTATATTCTTTATCATTTAATATTGGTATGGAAAGTGTAGAGTGGATTGTTAATCCATTTATATTGAATGCAGCTACCCCTGTTGGTGCTATCACGATTACTGGCAATTTCCTATTTTTTGTCATTGCATATAGCCATTCTCTTATTGCCTTAATCAGATATAAGTGTATCCTTAACGGTTCTACCTGACAACCCAAAATGGTATGATTGTAATGTGTTTCTATCTGATCAAATATAATTTTTTGCTTGTTGTTTAAATTCATGTACGTAATATCAAATGTTTTTATTTCTTCGTTTACAATATCATTATTATTTTTGCCATTATGTGAAGCTTTATATACAAATTCAAAAGCATTTGTCAAATCTTTATTAGAATATTTTTGTTGAGCATTATTTGTCCAGTTGTGGTTGCGATCCATATTGTGTGATCCCAGTTCAGTTTCAGTATCCTCTATACACACATTTGGTCCTATTTCCGCTAAATACATCCAATCCATTCTGAATTCCTTCTCCTTCTCATCTGAAATTTAGTCAAAGCTTTCATTATCATTTATTTCCATTTCATGCTCAACTTCTTGTTCTAACAAATCGTTTAGATCAGAATTAATCATGTTGAGATGTTGACTATAGACTGATGACCAGGTAAGATTATTTTTTGTTAATTGATGTATGCTTCGATAAGGGACATGGAGTAGAATCTTGATACGACAGAATTCCTCTCTCTGATCTCCATTTTGAACAGCTGATGGACGAGGCCATATTCTAACTATGTTTTCTTTTTTACATCTTTTCCAATGTCCGTTAATATATTTGTGAGTAAGAAATAGTCTAAATAGTGAATATTCTTCAAGCTGTTCTGTTCGATCCCAGTATTTCTGTAAAGATGATTTAGAAGTTCTACTGGCATTTGTTATTGTAGTAAGATCTTCATCATTTTCTCCTTTACCTGTTCTACGTTTCCACTTTAGTGTCTTTTTATTGAGATTTAATGATATAAACTGCCGACTTGAATAATATAATAGTATTCCAAGAAGGAGATGACAAGTTTCCTGTGCTGATATGTCTTTTTCTGCAATGGTCCTGATTAAAAGTTTCTGAATGGAGGTAAGTGAGTGATCGTTTGGATTGCTTTTTTTAAGAATCTGGCTAAAAATTTCTGAGAAAGTTGATGATTGTGGTTTTGCCTTATTAATATACTTAGATATATATTGTAATGCAACATGAATCATACAATGCTAAGAATCAGTTTCAAGTCAACGTTTGTACGCCATCCTTGCAATTGTAACCGATTATGTGGATTAATAAAGGGATCATTTCTCGTGGTTACGAGTTTAGGCTGTCCTTGATTATCTTTGTGAATAAATGTTTGATCATTATAATCCTTGGGATAACCAAATCTACACTTTTGCTAGTTTGTTTTTTTATTAACATGGAGACAATACGAAGGACTGCAATGTGTGTGATATTGCAGCTTATTGATTAGTTCAACATAATCCTGCTATGAATTGTCTTTGATTTTGTTACTCCGTTTTTGGCATGGATGTTGTTCAGGTATGGCAACATTTTTTGAGGGATTGATTGTAATAACAATTGAATCAACATATTGTATAGCTTCTTTTATCTTACCTTCATCATTTTTCATTTCGGTCCAATTAATTATAGGTGCGTTATGCTTCCTTCTAATTTCGTGCACATGAACACTTTCTCTGTGTTGCCACTCAAAGCGATACTACCAATCATCAAGTTCCCATCGCTTTACCGCATATCATTAAAGAAATTTTCAAAACGTTTATTAAAGAACCACATTGCGATGTGCGGGTTATCGATAATATTCTATAGATGCTGTTTGAATGAATCAGTATCTTCAGCTTGTTTATTAGTTAGCATTAATTTATGAAGTTTAGGCCAGTGCAAATCTGCAACACTTAAGGTAAAAAATATTAGTCCTTAGTAGCCGATTTGTTTGATCATGTCTGTTAACTCATTATGTCATGCCATCCAAAACTGTCACGTTCCATGTAATTCTTCCCCATAATGCATAATCCGGTTAGCAAGGTTTTTGTCTCTGTTTGTTATCATTTCCTGTATATCAGAGACATCAATTGAACTTTCTTTTATATTTTGTTTAACATAAATTTGCCCCTCCTGTAGTGCCCTCCATCTCATAGATGAGTTCAATGTGAAATATCGCCATCTTGGATGCTGCGCGAATCTTCTATCTTTGTATCATAACAAGTATTTAAAATATTTAGCTGGTTTTATCTCCCTTATAGGTTCTGAACGTAGGTCCACTTGTCTATACGGATAAAGTATGGGAAATACTTTTACTATTTAACCTGGTAATTGAAATTCATTTATAGGAATTCCTTTGATATCAGGTCAAGATATTGGTGGATTATTGCTCTGTATTTGTTCAAGTATCTCATTTATACCAGCTTCTTCTTGCTGTGTAGGTGTGAGTAATGGTACAAACATCCTTGTCACCACTTCATTGTCATCTTTACTATCATTTAAAATTTTATTAGCTATTTGATCAACCGAATGCTATGGAATCATGTTAAAAATAAATCCATTTATCAGTAAGCTTTGAAGTATGTCATTATCGATTATTTTGTCCTTGTAATAAGGATTATTATCTTGTAACCATAATAAAGCTCTCCATATTTTTTTTTTGCGTACAGTAAAGTCTCTAAATATATTTGGTTCATCCAATAATTGATGTTGTACAACAAGAATGTCTAATGTTAAAGGATCTTGTGAAAGCTTATTTGTAAAGCTTTGGGTGTCTTGAGAAAAGTTGATAACATTTTCTCTGTATCCGTTTTGTCCTCTTTTAAGACGATATATCGTTATAACTGTGAAGACTTGGGAGATTAACATTTCTTCGATTTCTGTAAGCCCTTTGAGTTTGTCTGGTACCTTTCCAGGATCCATGTTATTTTCAGCTGAAAACTTCTTTGGTATGGACTTTTCTGTATAGCATTATCTACACATTCCCTTAACAAGTGTTATGCATGAAATTCGTTCGTTACATATATTACAAAGTTTATAACTTATATTATCCATTTTGTTTTGGAATTCTTGTAGTAGATGGTGTTCAATTTCATTAATAATAGTGGCCAAGTTACAAAACTCTTGTGGTTAAGATTGTTCATTCTCATTAATGACTGTGGCGGAATTATAAGAATCTTGCCATTGATGTTGTTCACACTCGATGGGAGCTGCATTATTCGAATTATGTTAACAATGTTCTTTTTCTCTAATTGAAGTGGCTGGGCTACGAATATCTTAATGTTGCCATTGCTCTATTTCATTAATTGAGATGGCCTGGTTTAATCTGGTTTGTATGATTGAACTTCTGTGATTTCGCTCAACATCTGTTTGTTGCATTATATTATTTCTTATATTATTTCTTACACGTGCAGCACTTTTACGTTCTTTTTCGGTGTTTAGATGACGCTCCCGTTCTTCATTAGTTTCTGTTAATCTTTTTTCGATTTTTCTTTCTAGATTGCTAGCAATGCGCATATTATGTTGTTCCTTTGTCTCCATTGCTCGTTTTTGTCATTTTCTTTCTCGATCACATGCTAGACGTATTTGACGTTGTTCATTTGACTCTCTCATTCTACTGTTTCGCTTTCGAAGTGTCTTAGGGTTAGAAGTGTTATTATCCATTTATAATTCTTTTTTTATTAAATTATTTATACTGTATAAATTTAATTTTTATTATCAAAGAATAAATTAACTTTACTTAAGTATTAAATATATAGACTCAAATATACTTTACGTGATTTACAATTAAGTATTAAACTTTACATAATTTGCAATAAACTATCTGATAAACTATTTTAAAGACTTATAAAATATATATGGTATAATCTTTTAAACTATTTATTATGTCTTTTTTATTAACATTTCTATATATTGAAAAATGTTGGGAAATTACGCAACTTAACATTATAAATCAAATAAAAATAAGTGTGACGTTTCGTAAATTCATTTTCGTTACTTTTAAAGAAACAAATTCAATATACATAAAAGTCAATAATTAGTGATTGATGTCGTACAAAATTAGGTCTATCCGTCATCACAAAAGTGATTATAAGATTTGTTACGACAATTATTATTAGTCCGGAACGAAGCGTTGGACTATAAGCAGAGTTTTAGTTGCTATTTTAGATCGTCACTTGTATTTGCATTGAATATTAATACGTGTCTAAAATAAATTATCTACACGTAACAAAATTCACGAAATCGCCGATCTTTACTAATGTCCCGCGAAGTTAATTAGTCTGAAGTGTAGGACTATTGTTGTGGGCAATAGCGAGTCGATCACTCCAAACACACATAAAGTATATATAATATTGCTATCTAAATTATCTAACTATGTGCTTCGGATACACGATGGCGTAACCATTGATCACGCGACCGAGTCTGTTAATAGTCACATGTTGCCTAATTGTTAAGTGAGTTCTGGACTTAACAACGGTCCCTGTTTCCCTAGTATTAATATAATGGTATGATTTTAAATCGAAAAAATTACTATATATATATTATTGTATATATCTTAAATTAATGAATATATATAATCTAGTAGATATAAGAGCAATAGATAATTTAGTTTATATAATTTCAAGATTTGGTAAAAGTAATAAATATTTATTAAATAAATATTTATTTTAATATAATTATTATTACTTTGAAAATTTTTAAATTTTTTGAAATAAAAATTTCTGGAGTTTTTTATTTTAAAAAATTCTATATTAAAAATTCTTAAAAACCTTTGAAGATTTTTGAAGATTTTTACAGAAATTTCCTAATATATCTTTACAATTCAGTCTGGTGAACAAATGTCAATTCTGTCAACTACTATTAAAACCAGAAATAATTAAAGAAATCTGACGTAAAACAGAATCCAGATCAGATAGTTGATGTTCTGGCATTAAACTTCAACAATATGGAAATGCAACAATATTATCAATTGAAAAATTATATTCTTAATAACAAACTGTCAACAAATATAGATAATAATTAACAAAAATGTTTACAATTACAAAGCAAATTTTTCGAAGTCAAAAACAATCAACTTTACAAGAAAGACAGAAGAAGAAAAACTCGAAATTAACTATTCAAAGTTATCCAAAAACATGAAATTGAAACAATACTTTATTTGATACATAATCATCTTACTGGTGCACACTTAGGAATTAACAAAACCTTTGAGAAAATTTGTGATCAATACTACTGACCTCAAATGTTCGAAAATATTAAAGACTATATTCAATTATGTAACCAATGCCAAAAACGTGAAAAATACAGAACACCAGGACCCTTGCATTTCATTCCTGTTGGAGAATCATTTTTCAGAATTGGTATATACTGTCATATATTGTTTTTATCTTAGGAGAAAGATAAAAACAGAGAACTAGTAGCAGGGAGACACTTTAGATGAACAGGGCCACTGTAGTATGCTAAAGTTTCTAGAGGCATACAATTAGTACAATTCTGAGATGTATGAGGTCAGGTGAAAGAAGCAATGATGATTTGTTTTATAAAGATCAAGTTATTTATTTGATAAAATATATGTTCAAGCCTGCCAATTCCTAGGTGAAATTGGGGCCTTTATATACATGTTTGAGTTATAATATTTTCGTACAGAATAAATATATGCTATGGTAAAAATATAAGTTGAGATATAGATACTATCTTCATTAGAATATTTAACTATAGTAGCATTTACATAGATAAATACTTTGGTGAAGATAATATAGAAAGTAAAGATAAAATAAA